TTATGCACAAATTTACTTTAAAAGAACTAGCGTGAAACTGACTTATTTTTTGAAAATTTATCTAAATTATTCCAATTATAAAATTGTGATGTAGCTTTATTCGAATTGTAATACGCATTTAATTTCATCTTCCGATTAAATGGATCGATCTTTGTAAATTTTAATTGGAGATTATTCAATATTATCAAAGTCACCCTCTACCAACTTAATTTTTACATATTTCTCCTGTTTCCCCCTTAATTTGATAAAATACTTCTTCCTAGTTACGACTTAGTTGCAGCTGCAACCGAAACTAAACTTTAAGTTGGTACTTAGGCAGAAAAGTCGAAACTAAGGCGACTATGAATAGCTTTAGTTGTGGCTTAGAATAGTTTCGACTTAGTTGAGTACTAAATATGACTATGAATATGCGCCAATAACAATAGCATTAAAGCTCAGTTAGTCTAGACTTAATTTCAGTAACTTAACTTAATATTTTGGCCAAACTGTTGTATGAGGAACTGTGTTGGCGGTTAGTTAAAACTTAACTTACCGTAATAACTTAAGAAACTATAGATTTTAGATTCTTAATTTACGACCTTATGGAAATTGAGAGCGGTGAGAGAATCAGGCTTGTCAGAGTCTCGTTTTTGTATTTCTTAAAAATAAATGAACGCAAACATTTTTGTTTGCATGCATTTTTTTGATGTGACATTTTAGGCGGCGAACTATTAAACAGTTGAAAAATAAAATACAAAAACAAAATATTTCCGCTTTTGGCTTAACATAAAATATCCATCCGTAACTTGTTTATGTTCTAATTTATGGGCGAAGCTTTGAATTTGAAAGCTTTAATTTTTCAATAGTTAACTAGCGGCATTTTATTGCTATTATTTTTTCAAAATGGTCGTAAGGTTAATACAAAATGCCGTAGATGGCCATATAGACACATACAAAACGGGCATAAAGTCAGTTGGTACTCGTTAGAATAAACTAATTACACAGTGCAACAAATTCCAAAAAATTGAAGATGATCGGAATCGGACCAACAGCATTTGATTAAGCTGGTCAAATAATGAAAAAGTACCAAAGGATTTGAAAAAGTTGGTTATCATTTCTTTTTTATCTCAATTTGTAATTCGTGTTTTCAGGTATAATTTTTTGAAATAAAAAAATAAAAAACACATTATTCAAAGTTAACGGAGC